TCGCGGCGCGCTTGTGCGAGCTAGAGCCGACAGGCTGATAGCGGGCGAGTTGCCTACAAAGCGAGCTCTAGGCATGGAAAAGAAGTACGCCCGTCGTAATGAGATTGCGTAAATAGAACATGATGGGGTCGTAACAAGCGACGGCGCCGAAATCGAAAGGGCCTTTTTTGATTATTACAGCGCATTATTTTCTTCCAATCCTGTCAATCTAGAAGGTTTTAAAAGCGATTTTTAGGCATTCATGCCGAGGCTCGGCGACGAAACAAAATCAATTTTAGAAGGACCCATTACATATGAGGAAGTTAAGACGGCAATTGAAGCTTTGAACCCCGGTAAGTCCCCTGGACCGGACGGGCTCAGTGCGGCGTTTTATAAATCGCTCAAGAATACGCTGGCTCCTGTTTTAGTGGATGTTTTTAACGAGGCTTTCGATGCAAAGACTCTTCCGCCTTCTTTCCTAACGGCTCATACCGTCTTAATTCCTAAGACAGAAGATGTCACTAAACTTAGGCAGGTCACATCCTATCGGCCGATCAGTCTGACCAACGTGGACTACAAAATCCTCATGAAAATTTTAGCAAGAAGGTTGCAAAGTGTAATAACCGAACTAGTTGGTCCTCACCAAACATGTGGGATAAAGGGAAGAACAATTTTTACAAATACGCTCACAGCGAGGTGTGTCCTCGAGTGTTGTGATGCCATGCATAGTCGCGTTGCCATGCTTCAGGTGGATCTTGAGAAAGCTTTTGATCGGGTACCACATGACGTCCTTTTGGCCGTCCTTGATCATGTAAATGTAGGATCTGTTAAACGGGAAAGAGTTAAAATGGCGTACAGTGGCAGTACGACTAGCCTAATAGTAAATAAGTCGGTCGGAAAGCGTATTCAGGTGCAGCGTTCAGTGCGCCAAGGATGTCCTTTATCCCCTCTCCTTTTTTGTATATACATAGAATCATTTTGTTTAAGTATTATTAGAAATAGTAGAATAAGTGGATTTAAGCTACATTCATCCGAAGTGCTCGTTTTGGCCTACGCGGATGATATTGCCTTGTTTTGTTCAAACAAAGAAAGCATTGTTGAGGCAGTTAATATAATCAAGCGGTTCTGTAACGTCAGTGGGAGCGCAGTAAACTGGGACAAGTGTATAGGTTTTTGGCACGGGGAGTGGTTTTCAACGCCGAGCGTCTTCGCGAATATCAAATGGGTGTGCACTCCAGTAAAGTATTTAGGTGTGCCCCTGGAGTACTACCGCGATAGTGAGCCGTACTGGAGCAGACAGGTATTGGAGCTCCGTGACAAAGCGGAAAAGTGGAAGGGGAGCGGGCTTTCTATTTTTGCACGTGCCACAGTTTGCAATTTGTTTCTTGTGAGCAAGCTGTGGTTCGTGTTTGCAAGTGTTACACTGCTCTCGGGTGAATGTACAGAAATGGCACCGCGTTTTCACAGTATTTATTTGGGGCTCCTCTTGGGAGAAAATGAGCAGAATTAATCTTTTTCGTCGTGTGCGCGAGGGTGGACTAAGCTTGTCGCACTTGTTGCTACGTCAGGTAGTAAATCGTTTTATATTTTTTCGCGATACAAGTGATCCGTTTTTGCGAACCATATGCCAAGTAAGGCTAGGTCGGGCTCTGCCAGAGTTTATAGTATCTTCGTCAAGTGAGCCAGGCGGCATTCATGGGTATTTCAAAGAGCTAGTGGCGTCATGCCGATTCTTAGCAGCCCGTTTTTCTCCGGACTATTTGAGCGAAGTGACACGCAAAAGATTGTATAAAGATGTTTGTGATGTGGTTTTCCCTGCGCCTATGTACAGAGTTTTGTTTTCCTCGGGAACAGGTCTGGACGTCTTAAAAAGGGTGAAAAGAATGCAAGTGCCTCCTGGTGTCAAGACTTTTTTCTTTAAGTTGCACACCGGTACTCTGCCAGTAAAGACCTGAATGGAGGAGAAGGGCCTGTTCGTTCCCTGGGGGGTCCACTGTTTTGTCTGTAAAAAGCCGGAGACAGTTGAACACGTGTTCCTGGAGTGCTGGGACGGTGTCTTCTTGTGGGACGTCCTTCAACGCACCCTGAAAAAGGAGTTACCGCTAGATCCACACGGGATCAGGTACCTGTCGGTAGAAAACGAGGGCGGTGTACCGTACGATCTGGTAATGTTATTATGTTTGCATGGCATCTGGAGATCTCGGATGGCAGTGCGCCATGCTGACAAAGATGCGCGTGAGGCAAGGGAGTACTTTCGGGAAAATATTATTTCATTTGTCGAAGTTTGCAAGGTCCAGCAATATGTCCCTGAGTGGCTGCCGCATATTGAACGGCTCCTGACGTTGGAAACGTTTTAACCGTACAAAGATAACCAAAGGCTGACTGGCTTTTTTTATATTTACGTTGTATTAGTGTGTCGTGTCTGTGCTTGTGCTTTTGTCCGGCAAGAAAGAAAAAAAAAAGCGTGCGTGGCCGAGTGGTTACCGCGCTTGAGTGTCGCGCGGAAGCTGTAGGTTCGATTCAAGTTAGCGGACTGTCCTTTATTTATTTTTTCAAGTTGGTCTTCTCATAAGTTCGAGAACATTTTCGTCTGACCGAGTTCCGAATGTTCTACGTACCGAAAGTTCTATGCCGAACGATCCAGAAACCCACGAGGGTACATAAGAGATTCCGCAAGGCGAGCGAGGCCAGTTTCGCCCCAGTGTTCGACTCTGCTGTCACGCCGACTTCGAGGACCGCGACGCTCTGCTTTATTCTGTTACTTTTTATTTTTGGGCACAATTTCGACCCCAATAAACGTTTAGTTTCTTCAGTTATTATAGCCTCATCATGTGTCATTCGTGACAATATAGTGAGTAAAACTATTACTATTCATATAATCCAAACAAATGACAAAAAAAAAGGCTAACAGGCAAAAAAAAAAAAAAAGAATAATCAAGCGACGCGCGGAAAGAAATTGCCCCTCCGTTTCACTTGCTCGTTGCACTGTGCACATCGCGTTTTTCAGATCTCGTTGTATTTTGTGCTGCTTCAGTTGCTGCAATTTGTCTGTGCCATGATGGGCTGTCTCCGTGTTCTTCAGGGACGTGAACTCACATGCTTTCTTTAGAGCTTACATACACGGCTTGTCAATCATACTGTTATTATCCTTGGGAGTAGATTAATTCGGGCCACAAAGGGCGCAGAGACTTAAAGCGTTCTCGGGCAGTTTACTGATTCATCTATAGGGCGAACCGCCTTACGCCGTCTTCGTGAAGCGAGGTATAAGGATCATCCTGATAGCGGGGGTTTGTGCTGCCACCGCATCAATCACGAGCCTTCTGGGACTGCCAATGAGCAAAGTATTGATTGTTGTTTGTTGTCCGTTGCGTAAACTGAGCTTCTTCATGTTCGCGACAGAGTTACAGGAAGCGACGGGTCGGGCTTCTCTGCCACCAGTTACGGCGGGCCTTCAGGGCCCGTTTGCTCGAAGCTGGTTAACTAACCGCGGTTAACCGGATTTCCCTACGATGGGGAATTTTGGGTCACGTGACCGGCAGAGTAAGGACGGCGAGGAAACATGGCGGTGCCCCGGTGAGTGAGCGCCGCTCGCTTTGGAACGAATACGTCGTAGTAGCTGCAGTAGCGGGCGCGTTAGTCAGCAATGAATGGTGCAGGAGGTTTTCGCGTTGCCTTACCTCACTTTAAACGCAAAACATGAGCAACGACCTCGCCGCATTTTTTAGATAGACTTTCGACTGTGGCCATTCCTAAGCCTAAATGAACGCGATAGTTGTCGGCATGGCAACGTCTTCGGATTGCCTTGACTGAATCGGCCGGGTATTGATAGCAGACAAAAGCAGAGAGCGCTCCCGTAGACTTTTTGCTAAATTTCAAAAGCACCGAGGTGCATGCTACGAGTGTAGTTACACGCGCTGCACCTGCTGGCGTCTGCAGTAATAACTGTTCTGAAGCAAAGAGCCTAAAACCAATTTTGCCGGCCACGCGCATTCGTCAAAGATTTATTATGATTATTTACTTCAAATATTTTATAAGTGGCAGGCCAGCGCGCGCGGATCGTAGAATTACACGTCCAGCGTTCTTCTCGATGTTCGGGTAATTTACTAATAGGTCAATTTTCAGTGGAGCCGAGTTACAGGTTTTTCAATTTATGACGGTGTTATATACAGTTCTTACATGCTGGCCAAACATGCTGCCGGTGTACCGCCCGCCTTTCACTGCTCACTTCTTTCTCATCGCTTCTAGGACTCAACTTCGTCGTCCTCTTTAGAACTCGGAAGGAAATTTCAACGAGGCTTTTCTTCACTTCATACAGCCAAATATTTAAACAATTTGCAAACAAGGGTTAATTTAGTTTTACCTTGCCTATTATTTGTACCACGAGCAATAAAAAATGTTTCTTAAGCTCAAATGCATGCCGCGTTGCGTCGCGAAAACCAGGCAGCGCGCATTTTTTAGGTCCCCCCTTTCGGGAACCTTTCCACGGAAGCCACTTATATTCGCTACAGCGAGTAGGTGACACCAGCTACCACCCCATAATAAAACACGGAGCAATCGCTCATCCAGCCCTCATCAAACTTGGCTAGGTACTTGTAGGTACCTAGTAGGGAAGGGCGGTTAACTCTTAACCGCGGTTAAAGTTAACCGGCTTCGAGTAAACGGGCACAGATCAGCTGGGAATATCACTCCGTGCTAACGCCCCCGAATGAACATCTTCGGAACGTTTAGCTTTATACTTTTGATAGGATGGTACGATTTCCAAGGGTGTGTGAATATCGGTTGGGATAGAATAGCACTGCGACATTCATCACCTTCGCAATGGAAGAGACAGCCGCGATAACAGGTTTCCTTATCGCAGTTAAAAATTTGGGGTACTTTTTAATGAATCGAGTGACTCTAGAGTTTATCAGGTGGTCAGCACCGTGTTGTGGCCATTCTCAACGTCGCGTTCTACACAGTTCTGTTCTTTGGACAGCCCGATTATATTAGCACAAAACGTATGACTGCACGCATTGTTCAACTTTGGTTATGAAAGCTTTTATTGAATCCAAACCAAACATGTGCTTCAAGATGTGTATACAGAACATAAATCATACCCTAAAACTTTCAGCGTTCGAGAAAAACAACAACAAAGAAACATGCGAGTCACTTACTGTCAACGACAAGAATACCGTACGGCATCTAAACGCGCGGAGCGCGTTTGCTGGTTCATACAGCTGCGAAAAATAGCAAGGCCTCGGCTTTTCTTTCATGTGAAGTGATGCGCAGGAACAGTGCGGTGTCGTCAAAGGATGAACGTCACGCATGCGGAGAACCACGAAAGCACAGACTATCGAAGGTGAACGGAGGACACGGAGGAAACTACTGCCGTCTACTTCCAACTTATGACTTTACTCCGTTTCACCTTAGGTCCAAACGCAGCCGACAGTACGAGCTGATAGGACCAATCAGACAGCGTGAAAAGCGCACCATCATGGTGTTGTTCGTCACGTTTCCGACCTTGCTGTATCATCGCCGAACCAATCATAAGCAGAAAAGGCCTGGTGACTTGCGCGTTTGACGCTGTTTGGGTGGTTTCAATAACTTGTAGCGTGGGCTCCGTCTGGACTTAAGGTGATACGGAGTATAGAGTTCCGTGTGTTTTGTGTATACCGACGCCCCCCTCCCCCCGCCTCCCCACCCCTTTTTCCCGGAATAACCTCCCTAAGCCGGTTTTTATCAAAAACGGGAAAAGACCTAAGACCCCGAAATGAAGCTTGTCCTAGAATAAGACAGCCCCCAAGCTTCACGGAAAGGAACCTTTATCGAAAGCTTTATTTTGTGTTGACTCGGAATGTACACCCACACCGAACTATTCGTGAGGCTGTTTTGTTGGTTCGGGTATCACGCCCCTTGTTGCTTTCTCTTCTTGGTAGCGATATTTTTTCCGAGTATTTGCTCCCGCCAGTGTTCTCTCGGGGTTGGGGAATCCCCCGGCCGTGAACCATGTCCTGTTTTGTCGACATAAGCCCTAACAATAATTCCCCAGTTGCCTGCCCAAAAAAAGAAAATAATGCTGACAGCGGAAAAATCGAATTAAAAAAAAAATCAAGCTCTTAACGCTTCCCCCCCCCCCCCCCAAAAAAAAGAAAGAAAGAAAATATACCGTGGAAATTGAAGGACTAATTCCCAAGACACGGAAGCCTACTTATGACGAGTGCGCGTGATGGTATGACTACGAATACATTTGGCACAACCAGCACAATGTTTGCCACCCGCCGTCCCTTAAAAGCATTACGGATGGGACGCTCTGGACTCGCTACGCGTTTGTGGCACATGTTACACAGACAAAAGCTCTTCTATACGTCATAAACTGCGACTTCCCAGTGCGATACCAAGGCATGTCTAAAAGCGGCTGAGGATATATACAGATGCTTATGGTATATTGTTAGTTGAAGCACTCTTGAGCAATGATCGATGCTATGCTTATCTAAAGCTCCTTTACGTCTCGGTCTAAATTCGCCTCGAGGGTCTGTTTCATCAGGCTGTGCTCACTGTGGCAACCACTCTTGTATGACGCTAAATGTTCAGGTACCCGATGAATATACCTTGGGATGTGTGCTTTGAGAGGGCAGCTTTAGGCGTGACTCCTTGTGACGTTTAGGCGATAACGTTTTGTTTGAGCGCGATGTTGTACCTCGAGGGGGTTGTAGCCTTCTCTTCATTCACCAGTATTCGTACAAAAGGATTGTCCATTGTTTTTGTTTACACCAACAATCGCGTTTGATTAGACGCTTGAATTGCTATCAATAAAAAATTAATCCTACAATTAACCACGCCAGTTTGAGCGGCAACGTTGATATTATTAACATAAAAAGTTTACGCTTGTGTCTAGTTTGATAACCCTTTCGGACGACCGCAAAAAAAAGTGGCGGGTTATTATAAAACGCTAATACCCGGCTGTCCGCCCTCCTTTTAAAAGTTTGCAACGATTTGCGGACTATGTAGTTGGGTATATTTCTAATTCATTTGTTTTAATAGTAATCTCTTTTTCTTATTTGTCCCTAAAAAAGGAAAGGTGTCTAAATGCAGTAATTGGCAGGTTAGTGAACCTCGTAGATATTGAACCTCGTAGATATTGCAGTAATTGGCAGGTTAGTGAAACTCGCAACAATTGAGCCTCGCTTGTTTCTTAAATGCTAGATTTCTTTTAAATGTCAAGGGGAAGCGCAATTAAGTATTTAAATCCGATTACCGGGAGATTCTGCTATCTTGTAAACTTAGCGCATCTTGATTAAATAAACATTTAGAAGTTCACAATTTACCTTATACGGTCATGTACGGTCAGATCACCGATTAAGCATTGTAATATTTAATTACTGAGGCTACCTCACCCTCTTCTTTTCATAAAACCCTCAACGTGCTTGGCGTCGAGAACTTCACTGTCCGACGGCGCGCGATCCCTTTAACAATTCAAAAAAATTTTCAGAAAATTTCCTAATCATGTTTTTTTTTCGACATTCACCAATGTTCGTTAAATGTGGCTTGTGGTTCAAGAAACTTATGTCTGAGAAGACTTACAAGCGCCATGAGCAGCCTACTGTTTTCAGGATAAAGATTCGCTGTTCTAATACCTCTCCTGTCATCAGCATAGGAAATCGAAGGTGCAGGACATCAGACTATCTGTGAACTTGGTAGGCCCTCCACGGGTTAGTTTAGTCTCCGATGAAATGGTTCTTGGGGAACCTGCGCTGGTCCTCAATCTTGTGTTCGGAGACCCTTACGTGGACGTTAGAGGCAGATCGCTTCTCATCGCAAGCTTGAGTTCTGCGCTCATGGGCGTCGCATTTCACTGGCTGTCCGCTCGACGCGGCCTACGGCGGTCGCGCTGGAGGTGTGGCAAAGGAATGTCCAATGGCGGCAAACCGGCGTGTTCCTCAAACCCGGAGGAAAGTGGTGGACGACGAGGACGGAAGGTCTTCGCTGGGCGCCGCCGACGCGAATAGCAGCGGCTGGACGTCGGACCGTGCCGCGTCGTCGGTAGGCGACACCGTGCACGACTGCCTGCCATGCGACGAAAACGTAGAACTCTTCTTGAGCTTGATGGCGCCCGACTTCGGGCGTTTCTGGCTCTGGGTCTTGATCCAGCCCGCCAGGTTCCACGTGTAGCGAATCTGTGGAACAGAGGGCGCCGAAAGTTAGTGGGCACTCGCCGACCGCGTCCAAGTGCCCGTATGACAACACACCTTTGTGCCACACTAAAAGCGTGTGAGAACGCTGGTTGTACGAAACTTCCGACCAGATATCATGCGTGTTATTGTTTTCTGGCCACAACCTCCGCGAGACGGCCAAGGGTACTCAGTTACGCGAGAGCGCTTTTGCGCCGGCCTTTGCATATAAGGCCGGCGCAAAAGTATGAAGGGGTTTTTGGGCTGGCAGCGAGACGATGGCAGTCAATAATTTACTATATGTTAAATCACAGCGCTGTGTCATTCTCCGATGCGGATGTCAGCGAGAAAAACACAAGAAGCGTTTCGAGGGAGTTTTAAACATGACGGGTTGCGAACTCATGCTCGGCAATTCCGATATTTGTTGCGTCTGGTATGCACACGAAAATCTGCGTGGCGAGGAATATTACGCGTATTTGCTGTTGTCAGATTCTATAATAGGTGTGCGAAAACGTGCAATATTTGTGGTTTTCTTATAATTAAAATAATGTTGAGAATCAAGACAAAGGATGTGTACAAAAAACCTCATAAACCATTGTGAGAAATTACAAAAAAAAAAAAAAGCGCGACAACGTTTCACGACAGCAACTGACGAATCTCTAGACATGGTATTGTTTTTTTTTGTTTGTTTTTTTACAGCTGAAACGTACAGGCTATAGTTTCAACCCATACAGTTGTATACAAAACGGTCTCACGCAGAAGTCCCTCATCGGAATCTCCGAAAGTCGACAGAGAAGAAGAAGGAATGAGGGGCTGAACCGACAATTAAACGTAAATCGGAGGGGGACGCAGTACAGAATGAGGGAGACGGGGACGAATACGCTCACGCAACGGATGTCGTTCCGAGTTCTCTCCTTGGGTGTGCATTTCGCAGCATCTCGTATGTGTGGGAATTATTTCTTTGACCAAGAAACATCGCATAAAATGGTCAATAGTTTCCGGCCATTTACGGCAGCAAAGCTTCAACTGGAAAACGTATAATCTACTTCCCAATAGACAACACATGTGCTTTTCTCCTTTTTTAAGAACGAGAGTGCGCGCTGAAACTTTATTCAAGTGGAGCTTTCCAGTCAGATACCCATGGACTGATACAGCCTGTAGCCCGCTGAAACAGCTGTCGGAGTCTTTGATGTATGCGAATGAGCTACTTTTTGGGTTGCCGTCTTTAAAGCTGCCATCTCCAATATGGGGAAAGTAGTTTTACGCATATATTGAACTGACTATTAATATATTTCCGTGCAAAGTAGTAGACCTGGTATAGCATGTCGCATGTAACCGCTTTCTTAAAGGGAAGCTAATGAGGTCCTTGAATTTTAACAAACCGTAAAATTATAATGTAGACACCTAAAAATGATGTCTTAAGTTTTTTGTGGACCTTATCTTAAAAATTATGTGTCTTAAGTTTTCTGTGGACCTTACTATAGTAGGGTCGACAGAAAAATTGAGACACATAATGTTTAAGGTGTCTACATTAATACTTTTACTGTTTGTTCGTAGGAGCGTCATAATAGACAATTAAAATTTGGACGCATGCAGACCCGTCCGTTGCGGCAGGTGGGCGGCAGGAAAGCGCAAGAGCCGAGAGAAATACTAGCAAAAGTGGCGTCATTAGCGGGATGAGATGACCCTTTCTCGCCCCTAAGCTAGCTCGGGGATGCCGTCAATGACGTCACTACGCTCTGGACAGATAAATGACGTCACTACGTTCTGGACAGATAACAGGCGGCAGAAAGGATCGCCGCGTGCCCGGCGACAATCGCCGCCGTTTTTTTGTCAAAATAATTGCGGTTTACGCTTATTTCTGCCCAAGATAAGCGCGATAACTGAATTCACGGAACAAGCAGTTATACGGCGTGCAAGTTTGGCTGCCCCTTGCACACCTCGTGCGTTGGTATCTCCCCCCCCCCCCCCCCCCCCCCCCCCCCCCCCAAACGCGCCCACGTACTTTTGCCCCCCGACCTCTGACTAAACGCGGCCCTCGTGTCCAATAGACACCCAGAGTGCGGGGCCAAAAGACGGCCAACTCGGATATTTTGCGAAGCAGCTACTAAATGGGCCACATTTTGCAAAGGATCTATTTTTATTTGTATGTTTTCAATTTAAGAATGAAGTAAAATTGTGTGGCCGCGTGTGCAAACAATTATGTAACATTGGCCTAAAATAGATTCATAATGTAATTTATTTTGTTTATTTCTTCAAATGGGGGGAACGTTTGCTTCCTTATCGTGTCGGTCGCCGTAAAGCCACGGTTTTAGGTGGTACTAGTGGGTGGCAGGTTAAGAGTAAAGTGGAAGCTCCTCCCGCCTCTCTCCACTTTGGCAGAGCGAACGCTGCAGGGGAGGCGACCTCCTCTCCAGCGATTACTCGGCTGGAGTGGAGAGAGGTGGGAGGAGCTTCCACTTTACTCTTAACATGTCACCGACTACGCTAAAAACACCTCCCGATATATTACTCCGGAATGTTCGGACACTATATTGTGTCTTCAACAATTATTTTTATTTAAACCTCTCGTTACACGTCAACCTACATCTGCAGTCAACTCATCGTTCATAGGGAAGTGGTCTCACCTCGGGGTTTGCGGCGCAGTAGAACACGAAGATGAAGATTCCCTGAAAAATACACCCAATATTGACAAAATTTCTACATTGCAAAAAAAAAAAAAAAAAAAAAAACACAAGAGGAATTATTAGATATGCGTTTTCATAAGTTAAGTAATTGACATTTGACGCGAACCTTTATGTTCATAATATACAAAAAAATGGACGCGTTTTTAGATAAACGCGCAAAGTGTTACAACAAAAATAACAAAATAAATCGAGCTGTGCTAAAGTTTTCAACTGGCGGTAACAATATGTTGTCAGGTGTTTTTTTCCTGGCTTGGGTTTGTCTTATTCAAAGCAAGTGAAGTGCTAAAGTCCGTTTTAGAGTTCAGATAGTCTAATCACCGGGCTAACTGGTCATAAACGAGAGACCAACTACTCGCGGACGGAATGATGATAACCGAAACTTAAGTCAGAAAACCTCATTGGTTTGTGCTGCGCCGGCACCACAAAAAAGCCGGGTGAATTACGATAAATTCAAAAAAAGATATCGGAAAGAGATAAAAGCCAATCACAACGAACCGTACGATACCAGCGACTCACGAAACTGATTACGATTACATCAAAAATACGATTTGCGCAGAGACAATGACTACGACGTTTTACTTGTTCGCTGTGGTATTATAACACTCCTTTATTCACAGGGACTCTTATATTGCTCGCCATGATTTACACTCTCTGTGATCCCAAAAAAAATGAACTCGCAGCCGTATATATATCTGTTTCTTTTTTTTAGATTGATCAGTTAGTTAAGTTTGAACACAATATCGTTTCATGGTTCTTCCAACGCCGCGAGTCGCTCGTCTTACAAAATTATACATCATTCGGTGCAATAACTTATCCAACGCGGACTAGATGTACAACCAGTTGCACGACATACCCACCGTGAACGGTTTTTATTTTAACAAATAAGCAAAGATAAAATTTGTTCACGTTTAACTTTGACTTCAAATTGATGATCACGTTGGCTCCAATAAACTAAACACACAAAGTTGACGTTTAGAAAACACAAAAACAACGACGCACACCAAAAAAACGAAGTTTCTAGGGCTCACCAAAAGGCTGTTCGTGCAGGCAAAAACCCCTTCGAAGATGGCAGTTGACGTGTTCTCCAGCGATAAGACTCCGAAGAACCAGTTCACGGCAAGCAATGGCAGCAGCACGACGCCCGCTCGTAAGGAACATCTGAAGATAAGAATATTATTCGATCACTATACTTACTGTGCGACGACAGATATGCAGCATAGCATAATAACCCGTACAGCTATGAGGAACCTTAAAGTGTACGAGTATTCCGTTTATGGCAAATTATACGCTAAACCTCGCGCGGAAACTGGAGTATGCATTTTTATGATTCAGGAGAATACCTTCGTAGCAAGTGCTAAAAAACAACGCGTTTTGCATTTGAAAAAAAAAAAAGAAACCGCCTCTGACCTTTCACAAAGTATACCTAGAGCTAGTGCGTCTAGATGGTGCATTACTCTCCGACCGTCGAACACCCGTAATGTGATACTCAATAGGAAGTTTTAGGGAACAGTTTTCGCACATCCGATACGGTATGATGGGCCCTACGGTACGAAATCCGCAAGTGCACCGCAGAAGACTCCCACAATCGCAGTTCGCACCGGAGGGCCATTCGTACCATATCGGATGTGCAAAAATAGTGTTCTAAGACTTCCTGATCTTCTCAGTACACCTTCGGTTTCGCCCTCAGCTGCAGTCACGGACGCATCAACAAGTGCCGAGCGTGCCGAGTGTCGACCACCTTACTCTCGCTCCCCAGCCAATCACTCTCCAGAATAGGGGGTGTTGTACTTACACCCCCCTTGTCCTATAGAATACCCCAAAAACTACAATTCGACGTCCAGTTCACTGACGTCGACCCGACGATACCAACTTTCACGAGCGGCTCGATACTCCAGTCACACAACTCATTGCAAAGGCTGATGTACGTGTAAAGACTACAGAAAAAACACACTCAAAGTTTGGTTGACCTTGCTGAAAAACGACAATGTTTTTGTATTTCTGTAGTCGTTGATACGTGCATTAGCTATTTGGTAAGTTTGATCACACAGCTATCAAGCCGCTCGTCAAAGTGGCGAGCGCCAGTTCGACGTCAGTAGATTGAACGTCGAAATGTAATTTCGGGGTGTTATACCTGAGACGACGGGTGTAAGTACTACATCTGCCATCTCTGAGAGTGATAAGATAACGGCATTCGCCGATAATAACTTTAAAGAATAAAATGAGGAAGCAAGGAGCGTGAAGGTAATAAGCCATACGCTGCGTTTCTTAAGTCAGTGACTCTAGCCCCGGTCGGTATCGAAAGGCTTAACATTACTATGCCTTCAGTAATCTGGCGTTTTCTTTTTTGTTTGTATATAAATTTGAAAGAAACGAGCTACGATAATTACCTAATTTTGTCAATGTCCGTCTTGTGCGTGACAGGCCTTTGTGCGAAGAAGCATCTCAGCACCAGGACCATCAGGGTTGTGTTTACCTGAAACCAAACGAGTCCGGTTGGTGAGTATAGCAACAACTGGCTCGCAAGAACTGCGAGTGCTTAAAATGTAGACATAAGTGGAGTGTAACTAACTGAGCTTTGGGCCGAAATCGGTTATTTGTTGACGCGATTGTAATATATGTCGAAACGGCACGCACAAATTGAGGTATCGAATATAAATATTGCTTGCTGGTCCCCGCGCAATAGTTTCACTTAACGGCAGACCGCAGCGCACCCTACAAATCGTTCCAGCCGATCCAGCGCTGGGAAATTATCCCGTGACTACGCGCTTCGTAAGTCGCAGCCTCCCCTCCCCTCCCTCCCCCCTCCCCCCCCCCCCCCCCCCCGGGCCGAAGTTCACTTGACACCCCCACGGCATTGGATTAACTTTCATAGCTCTTTGCGTCCTCTGCAGTCCACCGTCAGAAGAAGCGAAGAATATATACTTCATTTCGCCTTAACTCGGAGTGCAGAAGCCGCTAAGAGCTGGTAGGGCCAAACAAGCAGCGGCCAAACCGCAATTTCGTGGCGCTTTTCACAGGTACGTTATCATCGGCTAAATAAATCACGCACAGTGACCTCGTGTATTTGGAATGTTGCGCGCCTGTGTTTGTCTGGCGTTTTGCCTTTGAGAGCGCTCTAGGTTATGATAAAACAAGGTATGGACCTTTCCGGCGCTTATCACCCAGACAAAAAGTGCTGTCTCCGGAGCTGTGGATGCGTACGCGGCGCCCATATTTCGGGGAAAAGAGCTACCGCGAACGCTCAGAACGCATTTCACGGCCCAGCATACCTGCAGTTCTCAAGTTTTGAGCAGCGCCCCTTTCGAGCAAATACGAATATCTTTAGGTCGCGTTTCCCTTGTGCGTCGCGCTGCGTCCCGCAGTCAGTTTACGCCCGTGTATCGTGCATGATGACGGGACGCTAGGACGCCGCACCACGTCAGCATTAAGTTAAATTGTCGCGTCTCACGGACGCTAGCGGAGCCGCCTCTTTTCTGGTCGCGCCTCCGGGACGCTACAGTCCCTCACCCCTTGGCCGAGAGAAACGGGCCTATAGGCAAAGATGGCATTGCGTAGAAAGCAGTTATTGGAAAGGCCCATAGTATCTCATCTCAAACTGCTTGCGTAAGTTTACATTTTCAACGCCCTTCACTCTAAAAACATTTCCGTGCGTCTAGTTTCCTACTAAACACTCGGGGAGTCAAACACTGCGATTTATCGAGAGAGATTGCAAAATGACAAAGTCGAAAATATGTTTGCCCCTACAAATAAGTTGCTGCGTGAAGCTGAATAGGACAGTTTCCATCCTCATGTCATGCATTGACTCACATCGACACTTTGTCCTTAGGTATAAGCGTATTTCTGGCCTCTCCATTTACCAAACCTGTTCCCTAAGATGGGAATGATTGGTTTAAAAAAAAAAAAATACACTCATGTTTTTTATGTTTTTTTTTTATGGATTGGATTGAGAAATAGATGTCACAATGTCGCGAGTTCACTGCCATTCAGTGGTTTCGTAACTCCACTCTTATCATTTTGAAACCCAGTTAGGTTTTACCACGTACGATGGTGTGAAGTGCCCGTGTTGTATATTCAATAACGTGGCTCTTGATTCTCGCAGATGGTGATGATACCGTGTCTCTAAAAGCTCATAAAACAAAATACTACTACATGTACACGGGGCGAGACAAACAGTGGGAGGATTTCTGGAGCACAAACGAGCACGTACCACGTGACACTAAGCGTCGTACCGCGTTCCACGCGGCGGCGTGTGTTTCCAGAACACCTCCGATTGGATACATTTTGTTTCTTGTGCATTAATAAGACAGGTAGGAAACGCCAGGAAGGCAAGGTGGAGTGGTGTAGTGGTTAGCACACCCGACCGGACATTGGGAGGCCCAGAGTTCAAATCCTGGCTCCGCCGTTTTTTGGCTTTCGGCGGGTTCCTGGAAACTTGGATTCTTTAATTCATTGGATTAAGTACGGTTCATTCATCTGCACAATTTCGTTTATATCCTCCTCGGAGACCACGTACGATGGTGTGAAGTGCCCGTGTTGTATATTCAATAACGTGGCTCTTGATTCTCGCAGATGATGATGATACCGTGTCTCTAAAAGCTCATAAAACAAAAGAATACTACTACATGTCAGTGTTGCGGAGTTGCCACTCCGGAGTTGGAATGATTCCGGAATCATTCCACATTTTCGCGACCCCGGAATGGAATGGGAATGGAATGGCGGCAAAGTTGAGGGGAATGGAATGGAATTAGATGCCTTTTGCCCGGAATGGAATGGAATGGGGCCCGGTTCTTTATATTTTTTTATTAATTTAATTTTTTTTTTACGTTTAGCTATATTGAGTTGGTCAGCGAGTCAGTTGTTCAGAATTAAAATGAGCTGGAAACTGCAAACCCGCGTGGAGCCCAAACAGACTTATACACAAAAAATGCCATACAAAAAACAAGCGTCAAAGCAAGGTACAAAAAGGGAAGGGAAGGGGGACGGCGGTGGCGCCTTTCACATGTGAAGTTCAACAGAAATCCGAATGCGTCTGCGCCTGTTGCACAGCTCAAGGGCACGTCATCAGTCGACGTGAACCTGACCCGCTGCTCTGGTGATCCGATACCCAGGAAGGAGGCCAGACGTGGCCTCGCTGTGCCGACCCAGACTTCGTACTCTTGCGACTCGTCTCAAGCGCGCTGTTTCTCGGAGAGCTCACACCTGTGCCGGCCATCTCAGGTCGCAATCCACAGGTCTTTGTCTGGATGATGCTAGCCGAAACTTGAGGACTGCCATTCATGGTTGGAGGCGGAAGGTCGGCAGGTAGGACCGTCACAACAGGGATGCCACAGTATCGATTTCTCAACCCTAACAGAAGATAAGGCATGTGCCCCAGGATGCTTCAGGTGGTCCACCCTATTGTAACGAAGAAAATGCTAGGTGTCTTCTCCGTTTATGAACGATCTTGATGTTAACAAACAACTGTTTATTTAAATGATCAGATATAAAATCTTTACGACAGATATGGCCAATTCGTCAATAAATGTTGGGGGAATGATCCTAACCTAAGGAAACTTTCCCTGTCGTCCTCCTTGACCACACACACCCTCAGCGGGGGCCCCGACCACAGCCAAACTCGACAAACAAGGTTCCACACAAAGGCGGGTGAGCCGAACTCCTCCACAGCCGTAAGGGTACCAAGTTTGCGAGCCAGCGGGCGGACGGCCCCACAGCTGAAGGGGGGTCGGACGTGCAGGTGTGTTTTCCAGAGGCAGTGAGATGTCCAAGGCTTGGTATCCAGGAGCCAAGTCCCTTGCAGTCCCTCGGTGGCCGCTTATATTGAGTTCAGCAGCATTCTAGGCTCCTCCAGCCCACCAATCAGAAAGTTTTGGAAGGACCAATCAAGAGAGGTTTTCTTAGCGCCAATCAAAAGGCTCGGATCCCAAAGCAAATACGAACATTCCAAAAACAAGCGCATATACGAGACAACACATTCCAAACGAAGCCCACAAGAGCAGCCATAAACAATAGAAAGCACATTCTTAGACACAGAAGTTATTATACATACGCAGAGTAAAACCACCTCCGAAGTAGAGATCCCAAATGCAAACATACACAAGAAAAAACGTTTCCAACACGGGGTTCTATAAACTATGTGTAGCGTTACAGCGTTCACGTTCGCTCCCAGTTGGGGCCCCCCGACTCCGGTGCAACCCAACAGCCGTCCCGTGGAGACGGAAAGAACTCTCGGAGAAGGCAAAAACATAAAGCGAAGCTAGACTAAATACTCGCGCGAGCAAAACTTCGCAACACTATTCTCGAAAATTCCAAATGCAACTGCCTGCATGGTCTTGAACGAGGTCCCCTACAACGAAAGTATGTATTGTCCTCTCATACAGCAGCGTGGGTAAAGATTCATGTTCACGGCAACACCTACAGATACAAGAATACTTGTTCATTCCGCCGTGACGTCATGTGATCAGTGTTGACAGGAGCGCCCTTTATGGGCAGCGAAGTGATGATGTTTTGATGGAATTTATTTAGAGGTCAAGGTCTTTTCGCATCACTGGTCAGACAGACAGGATGCCAGGGAAGGGATCGCGGTCAATCCTTGATGGAACGTTTTTTTGAACCCGTTGAAGACTCCTCTTCGTCTGGAACCACTACATTTAAGGCGAAGCTCCAAGCCTGTGGGAAAGTAATTTCGGGATAAAAAAAAAACAAAAAAACTTCCACTTCAAACTTAAAGCCTAATCTCAGTTGGCGTCTCAAAGAAATTTGAAAAATGTATTGCATTATCAGTATTTGTGTTTCTGCCCCCCCTAAATCGTATTCCTGTATTTGATTTTCCTAAGTTTTGACTCTTTTTAAAAAGTATTTCCGATACATATCGCGATACATTTTAACAGATATATTTGAGTATCAGTATTTTAGCTACTATTTTCATCTGTCCCAGTATTTGTATTTTTAATTACATTTCTGACTATTTCTGCCCAACCCTGCAACGCAATGCACCTGTCAAGTGCCAATTTTTACGTTTAGGAATGAAAGGAATGGAATGGAACGATTCAGCCATTCCAGGAGTGGGAATGGGCCCAGTGTCCCCATTCCTAGGAGTTGAAAGGAATGGAATTATCGAAAACACTAATTCCCTGGAATGGAGTTGGAATGGAATGGGGGTGCCCATTCCGCAACACTGCTACATGTACACGGGGCGAGACAAACAGTGGGAGGATTTCTGGAGCACAAACGAGCACGTACCACGTGACACTAAGCGTCGTACCGCGTTCCACGCGGCGGCGTGTGTTTCCAGAACACCTCCGATTGGATACATTTCGTTTCTTGTGCATTAATAAGACAGGTAGGAAACGCCAGGAAGCCAAGGTGGAGTGGTGTAGTGGTTAGCACACCCGACCGGACATTGGGAGGCCCAGAGTTCAAATCCTGGCTCCGCCGTTTTTTGGCTTTCGGCGGGTTCCTGGAAACTTGGATTCT